CATTCCAGCCATGCAAAAGTCAAGGATTTTTTTATTTTATTTTTTACTTATGCCCACAGTGCACACCCACATCTCTTCATCCTTCATTCAGGCAAGGAAGAGACATTATCTCAGTCAAGGGCACATTCCATTCAGTCAAAAACACTCATGGAGGACACAGAGCATAACTAGGGAGGGCTGTGGCCTGGAGAGATGGGTTGTAGCCTGAGAAGGGGCATGACCTAGCAAGAGTCCTGAGGATTGGTGACAGAGGCCTGGGGGGCTGCAGTCAGCCACAAAATCCAAGGTACCCACTCTTGCTAGTACTATCTACTAAAGCCTGTCGGTAGATTTTTCAAAACCAATCCATTGGATAAAGATTTGGTGACTCCACAATGATAAGCCTGGAACAATACTTTTTAAAAACATATATTAAAAAGTGGGACCTGTGACAGGCTGTGCCATGTATCCATCCACCCAGCCAGTCATATAAAATGTCAGATGCTTAAGGAAGTCAATTCACGCTCCTCTTTCCTTCCTGCATTTCTTATATCCTTCCTCCCCGACCAACATTCTACATTCCATGGCTTATAGGGCTTTTTTGGTTTGTTTGTGTGTGGGGGTGGTGACCTCTTTTGGTGGCTTTAAAATAATATTTATTCTTCTGCAAACCCTGGGATTTTCCCAAGCAGGCTAATAACTTGCTCTTGTTTCTCAGTAGCACCATATTGGTTCTGTTTCTATCAGGATTGGGGCCCTGAGTTCGCTGTTATATTGATTCATTTTCAAAGTACTCAATACCACTAAGCAGGGAGTGAAGGGCTTATCAATGACTTATGATTTACAATCTGCTGCTGTTGCGTTTGTACACCATTGGCACTGATTGATATAATATTAGTCATAAGATTTTCCAAGACTAGGTTAACCCCCCTTTTTTCCAGCTGCATGACAGGCAGAAATGTAGCTGGTGAAGCTTTCCCAATAGCTTTGGGGGGGCTGGACCCCCTTCTATTAAATTTCTGCCTCCCATGCATTTCTTAAAGACATAGCATTAGGAACAGTGCCAAAAGTCGGTGACATCTCAAGCCAAGAACTCATTCTATCTGTGTGTCTCGTTGCAAGAAGGCTGAGTACAGCCAAATACTTAATTTCTTTTCTCGGTAGTTCATTTCTTTATTACAGCCTGCAGCATATAGCTGGGAGGCAACTGCAGGGTTCGACCAAAAAGCTCGTTACAAGATAAAGGTAACACAAATCAAATCAGGGTGTTACTAATTTCGGATGTTGTAAAACTTTATCATATAAATATATCACTACTGAGGACTTTATGATCACAGGGCAGAGATACAATGATAACATGAAAGCATGGGCATAAACATAGCAGGGATGGGAGATAGTTGTCTGAGCTGCCTTACAATAGGGATGGTGACAACATGTAGCAGACATAGAAACTAAATAAGTGTTGCCTGTTGCGATTCTTAAGTCCCTATGTGCATCAAGCCCTCTGTGTTTCTTTTTGGGGAGAAAGAAAGGAAAGCTAAGAAAGGAAACTCAGTGTTAGCATAGGACTTTAGGGCAGACATACAGGGTCCCACTCAGCAAACTGAGCAGGATAGCTCCCAAATGCAGAAGGTTTGGTTTACTACACTGAAAAAACACTTACTTCTATCTCAAGAGCCTCTTCCCACGGCCATTTAACTCAGAGATTAAAGTATCTAATGACACCAAGACTACTGAGAATCTGGCAAAATTCTCCCCCCCCCCCTTTCTTTCCTTCTTCCGCTTAGCCCATACCCTCCAACATTTCTCCAATGAAAATAGGGACATCCCATTCCATAATGATAATTTTACTATTTATACCCCAAACATCTTATTGGGTTCTCCCAGCTACTCTGGGCAGCTTCCAACTTATATAAAAACATAATAAAACATTAAACATTTAAAAAACTTCCCTATAGAGGATTGCCTTCAGACGGCTCAGGGTTCAGGTAACTCCATACCCTCCAACATTTCTCCAATGAAAATAGGGACATCCTAAGGAAAAGTGGGATATTTTGGGATCAAATCAGAAACCGGGACAGCTTCAACAAATCAGGGATGTTCTTGGAAAATGGGGACACTTGGAAGGTCTGTTAGCCCAATGGGCTAGCATAGATGGGATAGCACAGTAAATCAGAGCCTAGTCTTTAAAAGATAAAATCATGCAACACCAGCCTCATCCAAAAAATACATACACAGGCCCCAGTACAGGTGCTAGAAGTTTGGGGGCTAGAAGTGTTAGTGCAATAGCTTCAGTGGCACAGTTTAACTTAAATCTAAGTACTTTGCCTTAACTGGTTTGTGGATTGACGTGTAAGAAACCTTCACATTTTGATTAGGCCCACTAGGGACTGTTATTAATGGATTGAACCTTTAAAAAGGGACATATCAAACACACATAGATGTTCAGTCCTGTTCAGACAACATATTTGTTTTGACTGTAAGAGAAGGAAAGAAATAAGGGAAACTGGAATGGTGGGCCCTCCTCCATAATATTCAAAGGGAATGTGCATATGCACAAGTCCTGTTTGGAAGCTATGATGACTATACAGCATGAAATACCCCATGCACACTCAGGGCAAATATACACTATACATTTAAAGCACATCTAATGCACACTTGAAGCGCACAACTTCCCTCAAAGAAACTTAGGAACAACAGCCCCTCCCCGAGCTATAATTCCCATCACCCTTAGGAAACTATAGTTTCCCAGATTCATTGGGGAAAGTAAATGCACTTTTAATGTGCAGTGGATGTGCACATTAAATATATGGCGTGGATCTGCGTTCAGTCAACACAAGTGTGCTATCCAAACAGGACTAAATATGGGTGAAAGGCATTCAAATCCTCTGAAGAACACTCTACCTTGATTCCTAAGCACCAGAGTCTTTTCATAATTTTTTTAAAATAACCTCAACCTCAAGGTTTTTGACATCTTTGCTAATTGGACCATGTTGTGGTGAATATCTAAATCTATCACTTAGATCAGGGATGAGGAACCTGTGGCCCTCCAGACATTATTCCTATCACCCCTGACCATTGGCCACGCTGGCTGGGGCTGATGGGAGTTGGAGCTCAACAATTGGAGGACCTCAGGTTCCCCGTTCCTGAGTTAGATGTTCTGAACGCCTGGACCATTTTCACAGAACTGAAAACAGATTGCTTTCCCACAGGGCTGACTTCATATTATGTGCATTCTCTAACCTCATATCTCTTCCCCCACAAAAAACATGAGATATAGATGAGAGGTTACTCCATAAAATATGTAGCATTTGCAGATGGGCCCACTGAAATTGCCATTTTGGCACACATTTATCATGGATATATAAGGCTAGTAGTCCTGTGTCAAGCTAATCTGGAAATAAAGTTGGCAGTGTAAACAAATATTCTGCTGAAAGGCACGTATCAAGAGTACTTGATGTATTTTCTACATCTGTGTGGGGGTGGCATCTTTACTATATGCCAGTCATCTCAGTGAGAAATGTGTGCACTGTTCTAGGAGATCTGTTTTGGCTGAGTAAGCTTGTACATAATCAGGCGAGAAATCCAAAGGGGATTACTAAGCATTTCATTATCTTCACTTATCAGTATATAAGTGGAAGGACAATCTCAAGGACAGGTACACAATGATTACCAATAAACAGGGAAGGCATCTCAAAACACGGTAAGATATTTCTATGATCTGTTTTCATGTACTTTCACAATACTTGTAAGTGTGAATTTATCCACTCTACAAGATAATAGATATATTAGATAGAAAGACAGTATCCGATACAGCATTTAGATAGATGACAGACAGACAGATAGATGATAGATAGCTATCTGAAATATATGCATCTTGTTGTATGTTAATTAGATTATTCACTGTAAAGGGTCATTTTATAAAGTGATTTTAATTCTTCAAAATTTAAGAGCATTCTCCCCCCACCAAAAAAAGAAAAAAAGAAATTCATCTTCTATGTCCATTTTTGTCTTTTCTTTTGTATACTTTCAAAAAATATCAGATACTAAAATGGTGAAGAGACGTTCCATGCAGTGAACACTATTATGTACATTAGGGACCCCTATTTAGGCTGCAGCTCCCTGACATGTATCTTAACTTGTATAAGCATGTTCGCTTGTCCTTCACACTGGACAAACTTGCCATAGGAAACACTGGTACACTACCAGGGTACCTGTGGCAAACACAATCACCATGAAAAGTGTGGTGTTGTGGTGTGTGTTGAGGGCTTCATCCAAATTTGACTGGAAAATGGACATTGATGTGCATGAAGACGCTAAACATTAATATGTTTATTGAGAACTACCAACTGATTCATTTCAGTGGGACCCTTTTTATATTATCTTTCCTTTTCTTTACCTCTGAAAAAAACTTGATACTGTTTTTCACGTTTCCTGTTTGTATTTCTTTCTGCTTTTGAGACCTGAAACCCTTATTGCAAGCAGCTCAGAGGAGGTTGTGCTGTAATAATCCAGGAGGTCCTTAAACATAAAATAAACTTTATTAACTGTTTACAGAATGAGGAATCTTGTAAAAAGGAAGCCATATAACTTCTCTATTGCTGAATCATTCCAGACTCCTCTGATTCACTTAAGCACAACCCACTTCTTATCCTCACAACAGCCCTGAGAGGTAGGCTAGATGGTGACTCGTCATCTAGCAGTAAGCTATGTGGCTGAGCAGGGCTTGGGTCTGAATGGCTTTCAAGCGAGAGAGATGCATGTACTGGAACAAGAGATGGGGAAATATACAGGTGTTGAAAGCTATTTACCATACATTCCGGCTCATCATATAGAAAAGGTTGGTGTATACATACTACTGAACAGAATTATGTAGATGAGCCCCATTGTCCAACAAGCATCTTGCAGACCTGTTAAAAGACCAGCATGTACCTGTACAAGTAGGGCTGCCTCACAGGTCTTTTATTTCCCATTAATAGCTCTCCTGGCTGAATAGTGAATGTTTCCTACCCAGTGCTGAAATGGAGGGTGGCTACATTCTCTTTCTTCTGCACACAGCCTTTCTGCTGTGTTTGATCCCTACCAGCAGCCTCAAACAACTCCACTTTGGGCACTGCATGGTATCTGTGGATATGTATGAAATGCGGAAGGGATTTGGAGACATCAAGGAAATGACTGTGAGTATTGGTGGAAGGAGGTTTCATATGTGTTTGGAACTGCAGTGAATTTCGTGCTGGAAGCTTAGTCACAGAGACAAATCTTGATACATCAATTTGTATAACTGAACCTTTTGGGTTTCTTCTTCTTCAGCAGTCTCAAGATCAGCACACAAGCATCCGCCTCTTACATGGATCACATTCTCTTCAAAATACAAAGGTATCTCCCCTAAGCCATTCAGTGATTAAATTGGGGGTGGGAGGAAGAAGACGTGTGTGTGTGTGTGTGTGTGAGAGAGAGAGAGAGAGAGAGAGAGAGAGAGAGAGAGAGAGAGAGAGATTTGGCAGACTTTTCAGATTTTCTTGTAAATCTTTGTCCTTGAAAACTTGTTGGTATAAGCTTTTTGTCCCTTGCACATTCTGTTCTCTTATTTGGAGAAGTGCTCATATTCCAACAAAATATTAATCTTAAAAAATAGAGGTGAAAATAACTCCTGTTGAACTCAGTAGATGGATACAATTGGACTGAAAATCTTTCTTTATTCAGAATGTGTCTCCTTTGTGTGCCCTAATATCTATGTCTTTTGTTGGTGATGACGTATATGTATCTCATATGTTCACACATATGGATTCTAATATATCGTTGTCCCATTTACACAATAGTGCCAAAGTTGGCAATAGTTCTGTAATCAAAGCTAACAAAGTCATACCGTGGTACCTCAGGTTAAGTACCTAATTCGTTCTGGAGGTCCGTTCTTAACCTGAAACTGTTCTTAACCTGAAGCACCACTTTAGCTAATGGGGCCTCCTGCTGCCACCGCGCCACTGGAGCACGATTTCTGTTCTCATCCTGAAGCAAAGTTCTTAACCCGAGGTACTATTTCTGGATTAGCGGAGTCTGTAACCTGAAGCATCTGTAATCTGAAGTTTATGTAACCTGAGGTACCACTGTATATGTAATCAGGGACTCAAGGATTGCTGCTTGATTAGACTCCAAAAAGGGTTTGATTTCTAAGATTCTGTCCTGTGAATTTTCACACTGATTATTAGTTGCATATTCTCTGAATATATGCATTCCAATATTTGCTTTATTTTATATTGGTATTTTATTTTATAATTGCATTTAATATTTAATTAGATTTCAGGATTAGATTTTTGACAGGTCATGACATGACTGACATTCAGTGGAGTTTAGTATTAATAGTATTTGTTACTTGCAGTATTTGTTATATGCAGTATTTGAAAGGTGATATGAAATTTAAGGAGATAACTGTTTAAGATGTTTCATATATGATAACTGATAAAATCAAAATGATTGTGAATTGTCAATAAGCCTCTGATTTGAACTGTAATGCATTATTCAATGAAATGTTGCCTATTCTAATAAGTTATCCTGATTTGCTTTAGTCTGAAGACAGGTGTTGCTTTTTTCATTACTTGTTGAAATTCTACCTGGTTAATGTCTTCAATCAATGCACAGAAGGAAACAACTTTCATCAAAGGAGAGTCAGCAGGATTGCCAACAACTTCCTCAGTATTAAGAAGGAACTGACACTCTGTGTAAGTTGCAGCAATGAACAATCCTATAGCAGTAATGGGCATACTTATAGTAGCTTTAGTACATAATACCAGTAAAATCATGCATGCACTGAAAACAGCTAACCAAATTACAACTCATACAACCTTGGAATAAGTCTATGGGCTTTCTAATTGGTCATAATGGGTTTCAGTTCTCCCCCTCTGGGGTCAGCCAAGACAAGAAAAGTGCCCAGAACATTGGTGCCTGCTTTTAAATACATATCTTGTAAATTTCCTCTGGGTTTTTTGTTTTTGTTTTATGGGAACTAACAATCTGAGTAGACAGTCCTATGCATGCCTACTCAGATATAAAATCCTATTGAGTTCAATGGGGCTTACTGTAAAGGAATGTAGGATTTAGCTGGGAAGCTTTTTCTAAAAATTTGCAAAGCAGTGCAGTTTTTCAAAAGTTCATAAAGAAGTAGGTTGCAGGACTGTGCCAAATTTTAATAAGGTTTGATATGTGAAATTTACAGGAGGGGAAAACTCCACATTCCAGACTACCAGATATTTTTTACACTTGTTTGTAAAACAATTGTTTGCAAAGGGGGGGGATCCCCAATTTTTATTTATTCCTAGCCAATTCAGGATCATGTAGTCACAATGACATGTATCCCATAAGATATGGATATATCATTGAAGGGAGAAAGACAAATGAGCATCGTGAAAGGCAGGAAGCGTTTTTGACTATGCTAAATCTACTTGGGGATGGGAAGGAAAAAGGGAACATGTTCTTACCACCTAGTTTAAGTTCCACATCCTTCAGATGGAATGATATGAACAGTCAGATGCACGTTTGAATTTGCATCCCGTTGAAAATAATGCTGGACGAATGGATAGCATTCATTACCAGATGTGAATCCAGAGGCAAATCATGATGCATTCATTTCAGTCGAACTGGCGTTCAGGCTCAAAACTGGATGTGTGCCCCAGTCCACATTCTGCTCCAATCATGCACAACTGTGAAAATTAATCAATGAGCACAAATACTCTCTCATCAATGGGCACAAATCCTCATAGTTTCCCCTTATGAACAGTTCCATATTTTTTTCCACAAAGGGGTGCAAAAATTGTCAACAAGGCAGCATGTGTTGTTTTTTTTTAAAAAAATGATATTTATTAAAGTTTCAAAAAGTACAAGAGTTACACAAAAACAAAAAGTGAAAATACAAGAAAATACAAAATACAGAAAAAAGAATAAAGTTTTTGAGATATAACAAAAAAACAAAAAAAACCCCATACAAAATAAAAACAGTTAAAAAACACATTAATTTTCCATAGCCTATCTTCCTTACACTTATTTCCCCGGACCTCCTCGTACCTCCCTTTTTTGTATTCCAGTTCAGTTTGTTAGTTCAGCAAATCCTTACCATTAAGCTTTTACCCATTTGTAAACCTTTATTCGTATCTCTTAAAGCATTACAGCTGGAAACCACTTAGTTCCTATCCAACATCCTTCTAAGATTCCTTAATTTTACAATATTTCTGTAAATAGTCTTTAAATTTCTTCCAGTCTTCTTTCACCGACTCTTCTCCCTGGTCTCGGATTCTGCCAGTCATTTCTGCCAATTCCATGTAGTCAATCACCTTCATCTGCCATTCTTCCAGAGTGGGTAGATCTTGTGTCTTCCAATACTTTGCAATGAGTATTCTTGCTGCTGTTGTAGCATACATAAAAAAAGTTCTGTCCTTCTTTGGCACCAATTGTCCGACAATGCCCAGAAGAAAGGCCTCTGGTTTCTTCAGAAAGGTATATTTAAATACCTTTTTTATTTCATTATAAATCATCTCCCAGAAAGCCTTAATCCTTGGGCACGTCCACCAAAGGTGAAAGAATGTACCTTCAGTTTCTTTACATTTCCAACATTTATTATCGGGCAAATGATAGATTTTTGCAAGCTTGACTGGGGTCATGTACCACCTGTATATCATTTTCATAATATTCTCTCTTAAGGCATTACATGCCGTAAACTTCATACCTGTGGTCCATAACTGTTCCCAGTCAGCAAACATAATATTATGTCCAACATCTTGTGCCCATTTAATCATAGCAGATTTCACCGTTTCATCCTGAGTATTCCATTTCAACAGCAAGTTATACATTCTTGACAAATTCTTAGTTTTGGGTTCTAACAGTTCTGTTTCTAATTTTGATTTTTCCACCTGGAAGCCAATTTTCTTATCTAAATTATATGCCTCCATTATCTGATAATAATGAAGCCAATCTCTCACTTTGTTTTTTAGTTTCTCGAAACTCTGCAATTTCAATTTGTCTCCTTCTTGTTCCAAAATTTCCCAATATTTCGGCCATTTGGCCTCCATATTGAGCCTTTTCAGAGCTTTCGCTTCCATCGGTCAAGGCAGCATGTGTTTTTGGAGTGAGGAAAATGTTCATGAAATCTCTCTCTCTCTCTCTCTCTCTCCCTCCCTCTCCCTCTCCCTCTCTCTCCATTTCAGCTCATTGTTAAATATATAACTCTCCAAATTGGCGGATGTTTTCATTATGGCAGTACCACTGCTACAAAGCTTCCTTGAGGTTTCCAGTGCATCTCAGATGCTTTTTGTGGGCCTGAAATCAGCAATGATGCATGGTTTTAAAAAGGAAGGAAGAAAAACTCAGCAGATCTGTAAGAACAGCAGTGATCAGAGAGCTTTCCACAAGTACATCAGACCTAGTGGGTTACTAGATAACCAGAATTTCTCTCTCTCCGCCCAGAGCAATCACGTGGGTTATCACGTGGGTTAAGGCTTTGGTTTTCAAACTGTAGGGAGGGCCCTTGAGAGAAGAGAGTAAATGACAGACCATCCTTGAGCAGTATTCACTGAATACTGAACTCAGTGGAACTTATTCCAGAGTAAGCTAATAAAAGAGATGAATGGGCAAAATTGCTGCTGAGGAATAAAATACATGCAAAGGGTTGCCATATTTCAAACAGGGGAAATCCGGATGGAAAAGTTGTTGTGCTTTTTCTGGAAAATTGAAAAAAAATAATTAAGTTTTCAAGCTATTTTTATGGAAAATAAGCAAAAAACAAAAAAAACCCACTAGTTTGCCATACGTCCAAATTTTCCTGGACATTTTAAAGATTTCCGCCCAGACACTGCTGCTGCCTACAGTATTCCGGATATGTTCGGGAAATTCTGGACGTATGTCAACCCTATACATGCATGGGGGGGGAGGAAGGGGGAGTGTTCCTACATTATAAAGCCCTCTAATATTCCTTCACCCTAATATACAGGTCTTGACATGAGGCCACAAATGGCTGCACATGAGCATCTCTGCAAGTTTGAACAAATGGACTGAGCTTGGTTCTGGGGCAGGGGGGAAAGTATGTTTAGAAGGAAACCCTGCTTTCAAAGTGTTAGAGAAATGTTGAAATAAGTGCAAGCTCCATGCAGAAAACTTGCCACCCTCATAGAATTGTCATAAGCAGTGGATGTAACAAGCAAAAACAAAATAATTACATACACAGATGTAGCACAGTTGATAAAATGGCTTTAACTCTGAAAAACTTCAGATAACGTGTCAGATGCCAGTCTCTTTTCAATGCAGTTATGTTGCCCATAGGTACATGGATATCAACTCCATCTGCAAGAATGATTCCAGGATATATATTAAAATGGGTTTTGTGTCTTAATAACATGCATTCAGTAAACCTAAATTCAGATTTGTAATTTAAAATTGGTCTTCAGTAAAGTGCCAAAAGCTTCCATTTCTTCATTAGCCTTTGTAGTAGTGTCAAATAATATAGCTCTTTGATGTTCTCATTGCTACATTTTCTTCCTCCTTTGCCTGACGTGGCATTTGATGACCAATTAGCTTTGTACAGCACTTACATGCATGAGTGGTTACAGCAGACTAGGAAGAAACTGCTTCTGCAGACCCTCTTTTCCATATTTTATTACATGGATCTCACAACATATTTTTCACAAGTAGAGAATAGATGTGCTCCCATACCAAACACGATAATTTAGTAATTCAGCATTTGTTTTTGCATTCAGTTCAGCAGTACTGTGGATCTTGTTCCTCTTGAAGATATATGTTTGAACACAATGTACATGAAGAAATATGTCTAAACATAATTTATTTAATACATTATTTTCCTTCAGGATACTGTCACAACATGCTCCTGTGGGAAGGAAGCCAATCAAAGATATGAACAAATCCTGAATCAGTTTCAGAGGGTAAATGTGTTTTCACTTTGCAAATTAGCTAATGGAATGCAGGTGCTCTCTTAAGCGGGTTGCAGGAGTCTGGTGTCGAACTGACATTTGGCATGAGACCAGTCTGACTGGAACCCTTTCGTGTCACTCCAGAAACTGTCTTCATGGCTTGCTCAGAAAAACAAGCACAGCATTTCCCAAGCCTAGCTGGCAACCTAGGATCTTTCATAGAACCATAGAATTGTAGAGTTGGAAGGAGTCTCAAGCGTAATCTAGTTCCCTGCAAATGCAGGAATCTCAACTAAAGCACCCATCACAGATGGCCATCCAACCTCTGCTTAGAAACCTCCAAGGAAGAAGAGTCCACCACAAGAGTCCACTGTCAAACAGCTCTTACTGTCCAAAAGTTCTTCCCAACATTTAGTTGGAATCTCCTTTCTTGTAACTTGAATCCATTGGTTCAGGTCATACCCTCCAGAGCAGGAGAGAAGCAGCTTTCTCCATCTTCCATGTGAGAGCACTTTAGATATTTGAAGTTGGCTATCATATCTCAGTCTCTTCTTTTCCAGGCTAAACATACCCAACTCCCTCAACCATTCCTTGGTTTCCAAACCCTTGATCATCTTGGTCGCCCTCTTCTGCACACGTTCCAGCTTGTCAATATTCTTCTTAAACTGGCACCCAGAGCTGGACACAGTATTCCAGGTGTGGCCTGGCCAAGATAGAATAGAGAAGTATTTTGACTTCCCTGGATCTGTCTGGACACTGTACTTCTGTTGATGCAGTCTAGAATAGCATTAGCTTTTTTTGCTGGTGCATCACACTGTTGGCTCATGCTAAGCTGAACCATGGCAGAACCAGATGAAGAGAGCCATAATTGGATCTTCTGTGTCTTAAAGAAAATAAAAGCAAGTCAGCAAGGAAGGAGGACACTTTGGATTGAGAATGTAAAATTTCCCCCTTGCACTGATATAAATTGTCCCCAATCCTGCAGAAGCTGCTGTTTACCCTGTTAAGGTACCCATACTTACATAATTTTCTGTTACACCTTGCTGTACAAGCAGCTACAGAAGTAATGCAGGAGACACCAGAGATATGTCATTTGTTATCCAGTATTCACACTGGTTGTTTGGAAGTTTATCTTTTCCTGTTCCTTTTCAGATGGACTCACACTCTGCAGCAGTTAAAGCCCTTGGGGAGCTCGACATCCTACTGGATTGGATCGATAAGACAGACTAGGAAAAGGCTGGACACGAGAATGGGCCACACAGAGGAGATGAAATGAATTTAATTTTGTGAAACCCCAAAAGCTTCATCTACTAGCACTGATGTTGAATATCTGCAAATGCTCCAATATCTGATATTGGATATCTATATTTGACACCTGGCAATAACTTGTAGTACTATGTAACCATCTCATGTGCAATTCAACTTCCCGCATTTCCTCCTTTCATGCATCCCTAAATCTGTTCTGGGTTTCCCCTCAACCCTTCAGAGCAAATTTGGTCTGCTCTGAGGCCTTGGGGCACTTGCAAGGGAAAGAGGGAGGGAGTCCCATTGTGGAGTCATAAATCCTCGCACTGTTGGGACAGTTACTTGGTGCTACATTGGGTACAAGCGAACATTTATTCTTCTTAACATGATTTATGTGTCAGACCCAGGTATGTACAAAGTTCATTTGATCTAGCACAGTGATTTAGTTAGTAAACCACTAACTAAAAAATGTCCCAGAGAGTCCCTCAACTCTCCAGGGTTTATATTTCGGACAGCACGGGGGAGAAGGAATGGATGAAAATTGGCATTTCTACAAGCAGAACATTCCACTGCTAACCCCATAAATGATCCAGCACAGTACTAAATAATTATCAGCCAATGTTCATGGCTATTGCACTTGCAGTTTGTAGTATTTCATGATATGTCGTAGTGTTGGTGTTGACATTATTTATTAATAAATATTTATTTATTGAGCATGTTCATATCCTCCTGCCTTTCCAGCCAAAAGGATCAGCAAGGTAGCTTCACCTCAGCATAAAAGCAGCTTGCATTATAAGGAGTTTTTGGTGGGCTTCTTGCAGGGGATATTATGGTGTCCAATCTTCTAAAGGACTTGAAACTCATACTGATACCCACTTACCCAGGAGTAAGCCCCATTTAAGACAGTAGGGTTTACTTCTAAGTTAAAAAAAAGCATTGTGTTGTTTTCGGATAGGTTTTGATGCGGAAGACTGGGGGAGAGGCTGGTTTCATCTTTATACATTTTGTTTCTGATTCTGTAAGGCTGCGAGGCAGGGGACTGCTAGGGTGAAAGCTTCATTCCCTCATTTTATTTCTTATACACATATTTAACCTCACCCGTAGGACAGAGTTGTAACATGTTGTGAGGAGTTCTGAAGTGATTGAATACATTTTGTGTGTGGCTATGTGGTGTTTAGTATGATCATATTCTTTGAAGTGTAGGGTTGGTTGTAAAACCTGCTCCTTTCAGTCACTGACAAAAGCTGTCTTTGCCAGTGCTTGTTATCCTGAGAAGTTGTCTTTCCCAGTTCTAAGAAAGCTGTGTTGTCTCAGAGCCCCCAACTGGCATAACCTGATGAAGGAAACCTTTGGAGAACTGTGTTGGAGTGCAAAGGATTCCCCTTTTTATATACTTCATTATACAAATATCACATAGACCTCCGTAAGATGCAACAGAGAAATTTGTGTAAAATGTATGGTATTAAGTTGCAAAACAAAAAAAGTAAATCTCACCAAAGCATTAGTGCTAGATGCAAATTTATTGCTGTATCTCCTGCCACAACAAGAGAATTCAGGGAAGCTCAGGTCAATACTAAATGTTTTCTGAATGTGAAACATTTTGGAAATATATTGTTTGAGTAGATTACACAAAAAAATGTGTTTCTCACACACAATCATCGATTTAGCAATACAAAGAGTAATACAGAAGGTATTATTTCAAGACAAGTACAGTAATGTATAGCATTTAATTGCATTAAAATCAAATGCATTGTGTAATTATGGCTGTAATCCTAAACACATTTACTAGGGAGAAAGCCCTACTGAGCACAGCTGCACTTCAAAGTAGACCTTGTACACCACCTTGCTTTCATGAATGGCAGTAGTGAAACAATATATAATTTATAGTTATATAAATTATATGCAGAAAATTCTACTGTATAAGTACTGTATAATTAACAGGTGGAATTGGTCCATCAGATGTTTTGTTTTTGTCCCAACTGAAGTTGATCTTATTAAGAGACTTCATTGTCTCAGCTTTGTAGTCTCAGCTTTGTAGTATATGAAAACTCACACTCTTTAATATATTTACAGCACAGTCCTTTGCATGTTTACTCAAAAGCAAGTCTACCTTACTTCAGTGGAACTTACTCTAGGCTCTTGGTGATAGGGCTACATCCCTCACATTCAAACCTTAGCATATTTTCTTCGAAGCATGCACTGCTTAGTGATAGCAGCCTTAAATTTATAAGCTTGGGATCCAGAATTCCCAGGAGCAGATCTCTGCTCATAAGACACTCCTACAGGAAGGAAGAGTTATACAGGCAATTTTCACTGCTTCCTGCTTCCTAGTGCAGTCCCTATGCCATCTGAAAAGCTGCTCCGGAGGACTAGGGCACTCTTCAAAACAGTGTGGGAAATGGTGGTGGGCAGGAAGAGGGAACATTAGCACCTCTTTTCTTCTGCTGGGAGCATCTGCTGGATCAAAGCCTGTTCCATGATGAACTAGTCTAGTCTAAATATTAATATTTCAAGATTTACCAGTAATAGCTTATATTTGGTTCCTACAATCAGTTTACCTATTTGCTCCATTTTCTATGGACATGATTTCTTTTAGTGTGTTGCATGTGGAGATACAATGGATAGTTTGTGTTATCTGCAATTAATTATGTGACATGCCCCAATTAGCATTTCCAAATTTCTTCATATAAAAGTTAGTGCGTTATTGAACTGGTAGCAGCCTTCCCAAGGTATTTCATATAGGACAAAAATATCTTTCAATTCCCCTCATCTAGCATAATTGTCCCTCTTTTCCTTTCTTTGCCAGAGTTGTTCTCATTTACAAAATTAAGCTGATTTTGCACATATCCACCCATTCACTATAGATACTTCTCCAATCTTCTGTTTCTGACTTACCATAAATTGAGCTATGCCACCATCCTACAAATATTTTCCTTTCCTTTCCTTTCCTTTCCTTTCCTTTCCTTTCCTTTCCTTTCCTGCATATTATATCAAAGTAATTGGGGTTCATGGCTATATTTGTTTTTGGGTTTTAGAATCCCACATCCTAATGCTCACTGAAAGAGATGTATATATACAGCAAACATGTGAAAAATACTAGTTCCAGGATGGCAAGGGACAATAATGCACAAATTAATAAAAACAAAATGATAGGGAGTTGTGGCCTGGACTTGTCTAACCATGAACACATGCAGCCTTCCAAGAACATATATACACACTTCTGGAAATGAGTGAAAGGTGTTCAAGAGCAGACATGTTTTGAACAAACTGAACTCTTGCAACAGTCCTGAAATCCAAACAATTGCCTTGATTTTTTCCCCCACTGTCCTTTGCAAACCGGCAGAAATGTGATACCTGGATAGCATTCTTCTCCAGTAGAAGGAAGGGTGTGGGGAAGAATTTCATGAAATCTCAAGGAAGAGCTATTACTGCCTTTTCAGCTCTCTGAATCAAAGCCCCTTCCACATATATAAGCCACTGCAACGGGTGCCAGGGGTCCCTACATGAGCTGGTTGCTTTTGTGTTGGGAGTGTTCTGTTCTGGAACCTTGTCTTCATATGCATAACTTTTGTCATCAAATCATAGATATTTTGAAACCTGCTTTAGGAATAGTTAAAGTTTAACAAAATGAATGTCCTTCCAGCATAATACTTGTTGATATCCATGAGAGTGTTTTTAAATAATTTTGATAGAGATAAACATGTGGGGGGAAATATGTAGACAGCAATACCTATTCAGGGTTGGGTTCTTGCTGCTGTTTTCAATGTAAGCTCACTGGAAGAGAAAAATTATCCATAATGTAGCTTGAAATGCTTTGTTTTTAACAATATGTTTTGCCTGACTCCTCCTCATTTAACAATGGATGGGTGCACTGGCAATCTACTCAGTACAACTCCTGCCTAGGTCTTGTGGAAAGAAATGGGAGCTGCCCAAGACAAGAGCACATTTGCTTTAAAATAAGATGCGTTTTGATTTGGTTTTGCTGCTCACGTAATTGTAGAAAGTCTTGCATGATTCAAGAGGTGGTGCAATTGAGTTGCAGATGAGCAAAGAGAATGTAGGAAAGTGCTACCTGACTGGAGCAGAGGTGCTGTCCCCAAAGCTAACTCCGTAGAACTGAACTTTGGAAGACCCATAGCAGTCCTGCTGCTAAAGTCAAACCCTTCCTGTTCAAGTACAGGGGCTGTGTGTGTGCATCCTTCAAGCCCAGCACCCTATGCAGTTCTTTAAGGCACAAGAGGGCTTTGCACCTTAAAGCATTGGGGGGAATTGGTCTATTGACGTGTGCCTGCTCAACCACGTGGCAGTCTAATGGGCACCCAGGTGTTTTTCAAAGCTTCCCATCCAGTGCCCACTAGGGAAGTGCCCACTTTTATCTCCTTAATTCTCTAGAATGGACTATGCAACACAGAATACTGATTCTGATTCTAATATGCCTCCAGCCAATTTAGCAGGATATCCAGTTCTCCAAGGGCTTTCATAGCAGCAAGTGTAACATCCATCTGGAAGTTAATTAACATGAAAACTTGGTCAATAACAAAAGCATTTGGGGGTGGTACATTAGCATTTTGGGGTGGGATGTAAACATTCCCCTTTAGTCACCTGCTGCCTTTATTTTTGTTGTTAAGATTAATATCATAATCAATAACCATTTCTATTGCACTTTAAAGTTCAGGTTGCAGTCCAATCAGTTTACCTGCTCATAGTTTCTGATGATCTGCTGATATTTGTTTGTTGCCTCTTCCCCACAGGTGCACATATTTTCATCCTGCTGGGAAATTATAGTAAGAATACCCATTGGCATAATAAAATTCAGTAGAGGTTTGGGACATACCAGTTTCGTCAGCTGCGTTTTATCAGACTGTACTACATACAGTGAATCCATCACTACCACTAATAGTGGACTTGGGTGGCTGATGGAAACAGAACCAAAGTGGGGCTATGGAAAAAAATCTTTCTATTCTTAAATTCAGATCTCTATATCAGCTTGTATTCTTTTTTTGAAAAAGAAGTTCTTGTGAAAATTCATTAGATAGTGCAAATTTCTCCTGATATGTTTGTATGCAATTTTGCTTAATATACACAATTTTGCAGAACATTTCCTCCTAAAATAATGCATTTGGTACCATATTTTCACCATATTGAGCCCAGTCCTGGCCAGGGAGGGCGGGATATAAATAATTTGTTTTAAATCATCATTTTAATGGAAACTTTACCACTGTGTGTGCATTTTTATACATGTTACTTGACAAGAGAACTACAATGCAAACTTTGGAGAAGTCTAAACAAAATAAAAAAAATTCCTTCTAGTAGCACCTTAGAGACCAACTAAGTTTGTTATTGGTATGAGCTTTCGTGTGCATGCACACTTCTTCAGTGCAAAATTCAAAGGATGGCTGTGTTTCAGTTCATATATTGTAAATGTAAGTTAGATTCACCTTTTAATGGAAAAGAAAAAATCAGAAAACTGAGATAGAGGGTAAGGAGTTTGCCCTGCTTGTGTGTAATGGCCAGCTGCAACCCTGAATGAACAGCTCTTGTGAGTATGGCAGTTACGCTAAAATATTCTGCGGAGGGCCTCAATTGTTATCTTTATTTCAGTAATGCTCTGTGGTAGTTGTTCGACTTTGGGGCCAGAACTGCCTGCTTGTGTACTTCTCTGCACATTCCTGCTAATTCTCTACATTGGGCATTATCTATTGCATAATATCTTTAAAATATATCACAAAATACCACTCAGTTCTCTGGCAGTATCTCCTCCAAAGAAAACTGACCCTTTCAAGTGGTTCACATTCTATAACTTAAAGAAGGCAACAGTATCGTAATGAACAAATCTGAAGATTAATCAGATTAATTTACAACCCTTCCTAATAAACATTCAGGGCAATGAAAATATGATAATTTCCACAAAACCAACATGTGACTTACACACACTCTGAATTTCTTCTCTATACTGAGGAAGGAGTTGGCTATGCCACTGATTTTCCGATTGATGTAAAGACTTCCTGTCTCACAGTGCCTGAAGACTTTGTCCAGGTAAAATCTTAAGATGCTACGAGCAAGGCAACAGCTGTCTAAAGTCTCCAGGGAGAGAGTTTGGATTTATTAAACACTGTAAGACAAAGCTTCCAGACAATGGCAGTTGTAGTTTTTTCAGAACCTTTTGGCAAATTTGCATTGAGAAAAGGCTTCCCACACACCAGCAAGGAAAACTGATAAAAGCTTATATCCTGCTCCCACCATCCCAGCCCCGCAGCAGGTGAACTTGTATCATATCACAATGGGTTGTATTCAGCTTAGTCATATGCAGAGTAGACCAACTAAATCCAATAGACTTAACTTAGTCAAACGCATTGTTTTCAGTGGGTGTACTCTGAGTGGATGCAAACATTATTTTAAAGCATTTGTTGTTGCATTAATGCAGCCATCAGCCAGTGGAGAGTCCTGTACTACTGGAACTGCCAGATTAATGCAGGTTGAACTAATTAATTAAATGTTAAAAAAAAATCATGCTGTTGTGGGAAGCAGATCAGATCTACATCTAAGGCCACTTTCCAAAACCAGTGCCTCCAGCAAGACATCATTTTCCAATTGATGCATTTCTTGGTTGGGAATGCTGGCATATCAGCAAGACAAAACCCACCTGCATCATTTACAAGGTTTTTTGCCCCCCTCCAAAAGCTGACCAGTCCTAAAATAGCCTTAAACATGGTTTACACATCAGCAGTAGGTCTTATACCGTTACATGGACCTGGGGCTACAAGCATTCCAAATAAGTTTATCTGGAAGTAAAGCCAATAGGGCTTACTTCTCAGTGTAAATGCATAGAACTGCCTTATTTGTTTAGAAGACATATACAGCAACACTCTGCACAGAATAGCAACTTAACATTCAGCATGGCATTTCAACCCATCTAAAGCCATACCATTCAAGAAATGTACTCTCTTTCTAAAATCCTTTTTAAATAAAATGCTCATGCAGACTTACAACAGATATCTAAAACCAACCAGCCAAGGGCAACAGAGATGGCAAGGGAGTTTCAGACAAAAGTAGACTGAACTGTTCAAAGTAGGATGAACCGTGTGATCGTTAATGTTCTCTTAAATCAAAATCTGCTTGCTTTCCACAAGTTGATTCAAATATATTAATAGTGATATCATTTTGCTACAGAAATTGCAAAGAGATATTCTAACTAGTAGCACTTACTTGAAAGTTATGCAGAGAATGTGGGTGCAAAATGCTTGCTGTTCTGATAGGATCTCTGGCTTGCTAAATAGGGAAGAGAGATGATCCAGTCTGATTATGTGCTTTTTGCCACACCGATCATTAAACAACTACAGCCCAACAGCACATAAATATAGTTTAATATAACTGTAGGCTTCAGCTTGAAAAAAGGTAACAAATCAAACGATATCTGGAGGAGAAAACAACTGTACTTTCAGATCAGCCAGATTTATATTGTCACTGGGTCTAAGTACGTTTCTTGGAGCTAAGACTGCATTGGATAGTATTGCTAAAAATGTTAATGAAACAGCTTTTGGAGTGGAAAGATTTATGAGAACTGATAAAATGTTATTGTTAAAGTTGAGTTTCTGAATTGATTGAAACGAAACATTTCTGATCTAGCAAACAAGCTCCCAATCAAGAATGTATGGAGGTAACGGTCATCTGGGTTTGCTGTAAATTTCAAACTAGTATGCTTAAAGATGAAAAACTTCAAATCAATTCTTTAAATTCAACACCCTTTTCTTTCCCCACACTGCACAATAGTGAGAGTAATTCTACTGAAACTTCTTACATTGACTTTTTAAATGTTGAGAGACTCCACTTTCTTCAAGCAATTTGAAGAAATACTGCAAGGGGAAATGTTTCTTACAACATAACTTTAAGCACATATACTCATATGAAGGTCCCATTAGTTTCTTCTAGGTAAATTTAGGACAGCCAGCTAATTTTTTTATTTGAGCAATCTAATTTAGTTTAAACCCATTCAACCTGCACCCACAATTCAATTTTCCAAATCAGCTAATGAATCAGTTTAGCAATTAAACATTTGCAGTAATTGTGTTTGCTGGTGTTGCTTCTTGTCCTGTCTTCAGTGACAAAATAGAACAATCACTTGTTATCTTTCTGGTGATTGTCTTTTAAATATATGGATATTACTAGCTGTGACGTTACCATATATGAGAGAGTGCTGGAGGGGAAATAGTTAAATAGGTTGTACCGACAGGATCCAGGGGGGTGAAGTCAGTGGGTCTATAAAGGAGTTCTGAGAGGAGTTCTGGGAGTTAGTTCATTGGGAGTTGTGGGTGGGTAGTTGGTTGGTATTTGAGTGGGTTGGCTGGCTGGGAAAGGCAGTTGGTAATAGAGAGACAGTTAGGGCAGTTGGTCCTTGAGTGTGGGGTGGTAGCAGAGATAGAGAGAGGAACATAAGACTAAGAAAGTAAAGAGGAACACTGTTTGGAATGCTGTAATAGTTTTGTTTTAAGTCTGAAATAAAATACACTCTTCTTTATGAATTGAAAAGCTGACTGAGACTGAAGTGATTTTACCAGGGAGGACCTGGTTGGTGGCAGCGGATTAGTGGTGTACGGGTCAATAGTCCGTGAGACGACCGGGGCCTCCGTACGAACGCCACACTAGCCTACACACAACTTAGAAGTTTTCTCTATGCTGAATTAAATGTGGCTATACCAAAACAGCCATGCTTTGTTTTCTTTTTCACAAGGGTTGAAAAGCACCCCTTATTTTCCTCATGCTTTGGCATTTTTTGCAAACACACCCATGTTCTCTTAATGCTAGGGTTGCCATATTCCAAAAAGTATAAACCAGGACACCCCGAAAGTTGAGCACAGCCTTTCAAAAATCCCCCCCAGGCATCAATTCCACCTTTGAACTCCTGGTAATATCCAGGACGTATGACAGCCCTATTAATGCTATACTTAATGTTCACAATTTCTTCTTTTTCGTCACAGTCCTCACTCTCATTTGCATACATTGTCATTTAATCCTATTGGTTGTGGTGGCCCATGTGAAACTGATGATGATATCTAATGCAATACCACTGTAGAAATTTGGAAACAAAATCAATTGGATTTAACAGGAAGGTGGGTCAATGAAAGCTGTGGAGGAAATGAGGAAGAAAGAAAATACTGCCAAGAACTATAAGCATGTGCCAAGTGAATAAAATGATGCCAAAGAAGCAATGAAATGATTCTGGTATTTGGCAAAGTGAGGATTTATTTTGCCACAACCCATTCAGCTGTGCCATGAGCGCTACATTTGACATAAATACTGACAAAGAGAATATTTGACACAAAGCTACTGAATACACTCAGAGCTGCCAATCTTTCCTCCAATTTCTTGCTCTTAAAAGTCATCCCTTCTCCCACAGCTATCAAGACTTTTGGACCTTTGTGAATTGTAAATGCTCAACTCAAGGAGTAATGCAGGCAAACCATTATCGTGTTGGCTTCCATATGTCCTCTGCACTGAGTTTCCAAGAGATTGGCTCTTATGATAGAAGGAGAAAAGAACAATACTTACAATGACCTTTTTAATTGTACCAAAGCATTCCCGGATTTCATGAATATTCATTGAAATGCTGCAAGGTCCAAACTGGAAAAACCTGTCCCCCAAAACAGGCGGCAGCAGGAGATAGAGAAAGAGGCTGAAAAAGACTTGCATAGTCTGGAGAATGAAGAACCTCTGGGTGGCTAAAGTGTGTTCCTGTTAAGAGGGGAAATGTTTTTGAATTATTTTGCCTCTGCATTATGCTTCATGCATTATCTGTGAAGTGCTAATCATCATCATCATCATCATCATCATTTTTTTTTTTAACATGACTGGTCACAGGTGGGTCAGATGTTAATCTGATCCAGACATGCAACTTCTTGTATTGTTTTATTATTTTCACCATGTGCTATCTGCAACTTCTCCCTTTATATTCTCCCTTTATATTTTACAGTGCGATAGTAGTGCTTTCTGGACAGAACTCTGGAACAGAAATAAGATATCCAATAGCAGGAAAAAAATGGCTGGGTAGGTTGAAAACCAATGAATATGCAACTGCTGCTGATAACTGCTTTGAGATTTTTTTCTACAATCAAGCAGTATATACATTTTATTAAGTAAGTAAGTAAGTAAGTAAGTGCAAAGTGAAGCCTGTTAGGGTTGGTTGGTTGGTTGGTTAGTTAGTTTATATTTACAAATATTTGCTGTTGTGGATGCCTTGTTGAGATTTCTGCATTGCAGGGGATTGGACTAGATGATCCTTGGCATCCCTTCCAAGTCTATGATTCTGTGATTTTATGAATCACTGGCCTTACCACACATATATACAGAATAGGTTGCAAACTTGACTTTAACTTTACAAGATAAAAAACTGAGTTCATAGTAGAAAGTCCCTGGAGCCAGCAGCTCAGTGACATAGTGTCTTAGAGTGTCTACTCTCAGTGGGGCTTATTTTCAGGTGGGTGTGTATTGAACACAGCTTCAGGACTCAGTGTTAGGAAATATTAGTAGAGGATTAGAGGTGAAAAACTGTAGCACCTTTATATTAATTGACAATTACCCACTACAATTCTGATTGGTCCACTTTAAGGTATGGGAAATGATCAAGAAGACAGGTGATCTTCCATTGAAAAAACAGAGGAAGAATGGGCTCCCCTCCACCCGGGCACCTTTCAGTTAACCAGATACTCAGCAAAACAAAAGAGAACCACTTCTGTCACTTGATAAAACTAGTAACTTGCCACCTGCAGCTCCCTCCTCACCCTTCTTTTGAAGGAGGAACCTGCGTCCAGGACCATGTCACCAACTTCTAGGGACTTGAACAGGGATTGGAGACCCCCAGCCCTTCCAGATGTTGCTGGACTCCAGATCCTACCATCCCTTACTATTGATCATGCTGGCTGGGGATGATGGGAGTTGGAGTCCAACAACATATGAAGGGCCACTGACTCCTCATCCTTGTATTGCAGAAACTGCCATACACCCATCCATGTATCTGAAACATCTTATGTTATATTGGATTTAAATAATTGAAAATTTTATTGAAAGCCAATCTTGACTAAAATGTGGTTGATAAATGTAATCATTAATAAATAAAAAAGATGGATTAAAAGATTAAGAGGAAAATATTTTGTTGCTACACTGTAAGAATGAATTAATAAAGATATAATTTCATTTTACTCCAAAAGAAGTAATTATTGACCTTATGGTACAGAATTAAAAGGAACAGAAAATTGGGTTGTTGTTTTTTTACTAGCATTAGATCATTTTTGAAGATTTGGATGAATTTGTGGAGTTAGAACTAGTAATACCCAAGTATAGCATAATCCTATTTAGTGAAAACTAAAATTTTAGATATCAGAGCATAGAGATCACTATTTTTATAGTTTGATGTGCACATTCAGATAGTATTTAACTGGTTTATAAATTGTGAAAATAGATACAGAAACCAATTCCACTGTAGCATAATCTCATAGCATTCCTGACTCAGAAATTAGTCTCTCATGTAGTTAGTTCCAATCCTAATTCTGGAAAGTCAGTCCTTTATTCTGGCCTGTCAAAAAACACTGTAAGTTTACAGCAGCTACCTGGATTTTTTCATGCATACTCATCACTCAGTTGAAGCATATTGCTGCTGATGCAAAATAACTTTCAAACAAGATCAACTAGATATAAATGCCTGTATGTTATAACTGCATATGCATATAAGCAGGGAGGCATGTTGTAATTACCGAAAAGTAAGCCAAATGCATAGATATACATCTTGGATAGTGTCTTACCCTAGGCTTTGATGTGTAGATGCTTGCCTCTTGATTTGATGATGAATCTGAAAATGTCTGATGGCTTTATAGAGGTAAAGAGCGGAAATCAGTCTTTGAGGTTTTTTCCATGTGTCCTTTTCTCAGTACTCCATTTCCACATAGTTTTCCTTTATTTGGGAGTGGGAATTTTGGAGTTTCCTTGTACTGATTCGATCCAAGATGAAAGGTTGAGCTTCACGTAGCTGTCCCTTTTGCCTTATCTATCAGCTAGCAGGTATACATTGGCAATGAATTCCAAAATCCTATATCTGCCATTGCTTTTGTCTCAGGAGCAGAGGGTTGTAACCAACACTGGCAAAACAGAATTCTACCTACCCAATTTAACACCAGTCATGGCCCAACTGCATTGGCTGCCAACTAGTTTCCAAGGTCAATTTGAAGTGCTGGTTTTGATCTATAAAACTTTCTGCAGCTCAGGACCCCAATACCTCAAGAACCACCTCTCCCCATATGAACAGACCTAGATTTAGACCCTGCAATCGTCATCTGAGGCACTTCTTTGTGTGCCCACTGCATGGGCAGTTAGAGAGCCCATTTGTGGAACGCTCTCCCCAGGGTGCCTTCATTATATATCTTTAGATGTTAGGCAAGAACATTCTTCTTAAACCAGGCCTTCAGCTGTTAACCAATCTATGGCCTTAAAACAGTGTGTGTGTGTGTGTGTGTGTGTGTGGTTATTGTCTTTTTAATTATGTGTGAGATCATAGAATTGTAAAGTTGGAAGGGACCGCGAGGGTCATCTGGTATAGAGTATGGGGCCAGGCAGCACTAGGGATTTGCAGTTCTTCTAGATTACTTTGCTTGGTCTAGTGCAAAACAGCATTTCATGTACATGGTATCAAACATAGTAGGCTGTGTTCTGCTGGCACTTCCCATCATGGTCTATTTAGCATTGTGGAGCTAAAGTGGAGGAGAGAGTACCTCCAGGAAGAGATGTGCATGAGAAAAGGGGGTTCCTACAAGAGCCATTCTTTTGGATTATGCCACCCGTTTTGTTCCTTAGGCAGCCTACCTTCTGGAAATGCCCTTCTCTTAAAAGATTGATTGATCCACCTGAGAATTTCCTTCTTGCATCACTTCAGCTGCTGCTCTGCCTGCAAGGAATATGGAAACTGTGTGTCAAAGAAGGCTGTTTACAAATGCTGCAGAAAATGCAACTTGAAAAAAGAGGCAATGCACATATTTTTGTAAACTAAGAAATCTTTAATAATTTTTTTTTTTTAACGGGCTTTTGAAGCACCATGAGTGAAAACGTCAGACTATCTGGTACTCAGCGGGACACCAAACTGCTCCCTTCCCTTCAATAGAATCAGACCACTGCATGGCAAACTAATATGTTTGCCACCTGAAGAACTAAAACACAGTGAGAACGTTTGCATTTTATGAAGGAACACAGGAAGGAGAGTTTGAGGGTATAAATTGGCCTGTTGCCCTTTCTTCCGTAATGTCTCTGCTGTATGCTGTTCCAATAATCTTCATTTAGAATTCTAACATTAAAGACCTTCTTGAAAAGTCTTTTGCCTCATGCTGAAGCCCAGGGTGGCCAATTAATAAATAATTTGCATAGTGCAGAAATTTGCACTGCTTAGATTAGTGGGGCAGTTATAAAGCAACTGTAACAAGGAAGCTACATTTTAACAGTGCCAGGGTGTGGTTCGTTCTCAATACATTGCTGAAAAGTTATGTATCTAAAGGCCTTCAGCAATGTTTGGCGTTAAAAATTTGTAAAAATGCAACACAAATTTCCCTGAGTTTCCAGCTGGTGCATGTTGGGGAAACACCAAAGGAAGCAAAATACAGTACATTTCCCACTGAATTGTTATATTTGTCCATCTCCCCAAAATTCCCCAACAGTTTTTCAAGAAGAAGAAGAAGAAGAAGAAGAAGAAGAAGAAGAAAATGATGACAACAGACATTATACTCACTTATTATTATAACCTACAGGTGAACAGAAGTAGAAGGTTAAAGTCCAGCAAAAAATAAAAATCAATCAACAGGAAGTATACACACACACACGTGTGTGTGTGTGTGTGTGTGTGTCTATTGTAATGGAGGGGCAGATAGATTTTTAACAGTGAGGTCAGTTATCCATTTCCTAAAATCATTGTCCACAAAGCCCTAAGGATGGGAGCAAATACTCTTCAGAACTTTCCCATCTTCTAAAAAACAAAATCAATTTTAAACACGCCTAGATAAAAAGAAGAGGAAAAAGACCCTAAACCTATTTGTTTGTAATTGGAAAGTTTCTTAGCTAGCAGGACCGTTCTCATGTGCTATTTTTATCCAATTATCCACAAAAGAATAGAGAATATTAAGTAAATCCCTTTAAAAAATCAACGCCAAACTGTAAGACAGTGGCATATAACCTCTGGCCCAATCAGGCTCAGTGGGAGTCCTAAATAGGCCCATAAGGTTGCTTTCCCCAAAGCATGCCCACCTGTCGTATGCCTGACATCATATGTGATGCCAGGTGTGGGGCAAGTCAAGATGTAGCTGAGGGAGCTCCTTGGACATTGTGACCTGTTGACCCACCCACCTGACAAAGAGGTCACAGGAGTTGGGGGAGGTAAGAATCCAGCCAACCATCCAAATCTACTTCTCCATTCCTGCTGCAAAGACTGCTCTTCCAAAACAACAAAAACAAAAAATGCTGCCATTATCCTTTTGGAACTTGGTAGGATTCAACACCTCAGAATGAGCTACTGTGTCTGCAAATTTCCTCCACTTCTACAGAAAAGTTATAGACAGATTGCTTTGCTTTTTGGGATAACTCGTTTGAGTTTACAGACAGAAAGCTCTGTATGGCTTTGTAAATGTAGTTGCCTACAGAAGCTTGAGGAAGAAGCACTCCATGTCAAAAATAAGCAGATTTATAGAGATTTGTTCTGTCCCAGGTGCTTTTCACAGAAAGAAATGTGCGAATGATAAGTGATGGAAATTTGGAGGTATTGCTTACTACTGTACAAATTCTGCACTGCAAAGCTGTACTCAAGGAAAGATTCCCCACATTCATGTGTTGTACCTTCCCACCCACCTGACAAATAATATAATGTATATTCTTTAGGATTTCTTCATTCTCTGCCATGTAATTAGCTAACACATACAAACATATTTTTAATTGGTTCAAAAAAATCACCTCCAACGGCTCAGACTCAGAGTAGATTCCTGTTTGGATTCAGTGTACAGATTCTCAAAAACACTGGCATGTATCACATGTGCCTATAAAAAACAAATAATCACTTTAGTAATAAGTTTGTACTATATTATCAAAACAGTATACAGTGGTATGAATACTATAAAAAACACTATGCAGAAATTAAACTCTTCCACGTGGACTCCCTTTCTCTGCAAAAAAAAATCCATGCTTTCATTCAAATCTTCCTGATTATATATATTTTATTTCAGCAGTGTTTCTCTGGTTTCATAGGTACCCCACCATCTTTAGGCTCTACAGGCTGCAGAAGAAAAGATCACAAACAGGATACCTGATTCATGCTGGGTTCTGCTCATGGATCTTTTATGCAGAATCTACATTAGTTTTTTATCTTATCAAAATATGGTCTGTGTGGTTCCCTATATTTTTATTACTGTACTCATGATAGAGGGAAAATCTTCCTATGGCAACCACTTCCAGAATCTCTTTCTCCCACGGTTAATAATGCAGCCCTGCTTTACTGGCAAAACCCGCACACTGATCATTCAACACATATTCTTAACATTCAATCTTAGACATATTCTTCAGGCGCCATCATTGTTGTTTTTTAGAGACCTGGCCAAGTCTGACCTCATTGGTTGATATTTGAATGCTGTTGAAGATTGTAGCAACTGCTTTCTTCTTCTTCTTTTGTATTATTGGTATTGTTGATGTATCATTGGTTTTTAATATTGTTTTAATTGAGTTTGTTGGCTGTCTTGAGGGCCTTTATGCTGTAATAGTAGAGCAAACAACAAACACACACATTATCATAGTGAGGGCCCCTCTGAATATAGCCTGGGACAAAACTTACAGGTGTGTGAAAGAGAGAGGGGAGTGAGAAAGTTTTGCCTGTTACTACTACCAACTCCATTTTGTAACACTAGAGGGAAGCAAACTCTCTTATTTATTTGGTGCAAGAGTTTCTGCTAGATATGACATAACATATAAAACTGAAGACGATTGTACTCCTGCTGCTGAACTGGTCTCCTAGGTTATGGACCTGTTAAGTCCTTACTGGAAATTCCAGTATCATAGGCAGGAACGTAGAAAAGATGTGCTCAGGTCTATTGCTAGCCTGCTCTTTGCAGTCTCATACCAGTTGTCCAGAGCAGCTAATGGCCATTGGTCTTACAATAGCTGTACCTTCTTACAATAGCTGTATCTGTCTTTGTCAGTGCAGAATTAAATTTGGTGCCCCCAGAAGGGACCCACTGACTCTGTTTGGGCATTCAAAGACTGTAGCTTAGTTGTACGTTCTTTGAATGCCCAAGTAGAGTCAGTGGGTTGGGTCCCTTCTGGGGGCATCAAATTCCGCTTGCTGGTTTCTCACAGGCATCCATTTGACCACTTTGAGAACAAGAAGCTGGGCTAGATGGGGCATTGGTCTGAAGCAGCCACTTCTTATGTTCTTTTAAAACTGTGGAGATTCACTGCTAGTCAGTGGAGCTGACAGTACTGGGCTGGATGGACCAGTGGTCTTACTTGCATAAGGCAGCTTCCTAAAGAGTAGCTCAGGGTATGGGGCTGCACACATCACTCTGTAGTGCCCAGTCTTCATGTACTGAGGCCAAAAGTCTGTAGGTCGTGAATGGCACAGCACATAGCCAATCTGCTGTTTCCACAGCTTCGCCTGCACTGCATCAACCACCTTGCCTTTCAATCTCTCAGTTACCTGCCTCAACCTCCATCAGGCATGCAGCCAGGTATGCAACGTTGCCCCACCTTACTACTAAACGGTAAAGGTAATTTAAATAAACATTCACATTATTAGCATCAGAAAATGTTTGGAAGATAGTGAAATAAGATGGTGTATTTAATTTTATTTTTATGTTTTTAAGGTTTGATGTTATGTTATTAATAACTTTTTCTGTTGAGAGATAGCAAAGCGGGTGAAAATAGAAACAAACCAGAAACGCAAGTTGGGGGAAGTCTTGGAGGGAGGGAGGGAGGAATATATAGCAAATGTTAAGAATTTGAGATGTATATAATGAACAAAAATGAAAAATGATTTTTTTTAAAAAAATAAAAAAATAAAAGGTAAAGGACCCCTGTCAGTTAA